AAACAAGGAGCCATCTCAGCATTTGCTCAATGGATCAGGGAAACTGGACAAAAACCTGATCGAGATGGAAGGACTGAAGCCAATTTTAAACCAGTTTCTAAATTCGTAGCAATATTAGGTCTCCAGATGAAAAGAATGTTCAGACGATGCATAGAAAATTGCTTGAAGAACACTACTGCGAGACATTTGCACGAATATTGCATTTTAAATATTCTTATAGTATGTACTTCGCCTAAGTTTCGAGATCGGAAATTCTTACACTGCTTATCTGAAGTAATAAGACGAGCTATCAATTCAGTTTTTAATAGCTTTGACGTAAATATTAGCTTGCAGATATCACGTTTTTCTGAATTTATAATTTACTAGTGGTTTGAATCTGGGGGCGTTTATTCCACATGTTAGTATGGAGCCGTAAATAAAACCATTTCAAATATTTTTCTTGTCAATTTCCAAGGTTTAAATATTCACACGAAAATTAGTTTATTCATATTTTTTGGCAGACCAATAGATAAAACACTTCAGGTAATATGAATTTCCTAATGCAGTCAATTTTTACCCTGGCAAGTAGAGCAATTTGATCAGCTAAATACTAGACATGGTGTTCCCATGCCCAATATTCCAAAAGGCTGGCGCCTATTCAACTCCCAATGTATGGGAGTGAAAACTATTAGTTCATAATTTCAGCAACCATTTTTCCTGGCACTTTTCCAGCAGCAATGCAACATTGCTCTCTTCCTGATCACTGTGCACCCAAGAACAAGTTTTCAAGCAGTTAATAGTGAAAGATTTTATCACATCTAGTCAAAGATCATTTCCCATTCTTTTAAGTTTCAATCTCTACATATTTAATTTTTAAGAAGAGGCCAGGAAGATGAAAATTTTTAATGAGGCTTGTTAAAAGGAACATTTAGTTCCCAATTCCTGAGATTTTAATATTTTGTTGTTCACATCCTCCCTGGTAATGACTGTTCTTAGCAATAAATTCAAGCACCCATCACCTTGTGTTCTGATTACTTTTCATCCCACAGAAATTCCTTGCTTCTAAATTTGCTTTACTAAAAATTCTTATCTTCAAGACTCAAACACCTAAGGAAACAGTATCAAACTTCATGCATTCAGGCTTTAACCACTAGAACTAGTAACTTGCCCTACATTTTATTGCCATTAAGTTGAAATAAAAAGCAGAAGTCAATTATTCAACTTTTATTTCTGAACTAGTTGAAATGTGAAATACAGAAAGGACAAAACAGCAATAAAAAGTGAAATGTTGAATCAAGCAAGTTACTTCAGGAATGCCAGTTACATTCAAAACATTATTTGCAGTTAGCCAATATATGGTATGCACCACCTGGATCACTTAAATTATCACAAGATCTGAAGTATTTAAATTCTTGCATCCTTAACACTTACAGCTACAATGAGGTTACTATTGCTTGAACAATTACAAGTCATATTCGACAATAACATAGTATTGTTCTTTGGCATACCATCACCTAACATAACTTAAGGTTAATGGAATGGATGAAACGGCTCATTCATGCGGCATTACTACTGCAGTTGCACAAAATTTTATTACACAGTAAATTAACCAATCTGCAAATTTCAAGAATTTCAATTGATTTACAGAACAAAACTTTTTGTACTTTTAATTCGGAAAATGAGCATTTGGGGAACTTTTTTAGATCAAACAAAGAAGCATTTTAGAAAAATTACACAACTCATTTTGTAGCAGGTAAAACGAAAATTTCTGATTAAATGCATGTACTTTTATGAAAGTTGACCACAATCATCGATGACAAGTTTCTTAGAGGTCTTGCCACTCTGAGAACCAAAGGCTTCCAACTGAAAAAATTAAATGCATAAGTACAGGACCAAATTTTGATTAAAAAAGTTAAAAGCAGGCATGCATGCACATTCACCCACATACTTACCCTCTTCACAATATCCATGCCCTCAACAACAGAACCAAAAACAACATGACGATTGTCAAGCCAACTAGTTTTGGCAGTGGTAACAAAAAACTGGCTACCATTTGTGTGTGGCCCAGCATTAGCCATAGACAAGATACCTGAGGAAATTATTAAGGTCAGACATGTCTTTAGGCAGAATAAAAGTTAAAATTTTAATACAAGTCTTTTGCTTACATACCCGCTCCAGTGTGAGTCAGAATGAAGTTTTCATCCTCAAACTTGTTTCCATAGATTGACTTTCCACCAGTGCCATTATGATTGGTAAAATCTCCACCTTGGCACATGAAATTTGGGATAACTCTGTGGAATGTGCTACCCTTGTATCCAAAGCCCTTTTCACCAGTGCACAATGCACGGAAATTTTCCGCAGTCTTGGGTACAACATCAGCTCTCAACTGCAAACAAGCACGTTAGTAAAACGCTGGGTCTAATTAGGATTCGTATAAATGAATTACCGACAATACAATTTTCCTAGGGAATTTACGGCAACGCAAATTGATGTCCATACCAGTTATTCAAGATCAAGAAAACCATTTTCCTAAGGAAACTGCGACAACGAAAGACTACACCCGCAAGTTATTAAGAATTAGGAAAAACTTATTTAAAAATTTCATATTATTTTACAAGTTACGACTCCCATCTGTGATGAATTAATTTACGGCCCACGTGACACTGCTTTTGCCGGCATTATCTAGCATGTAAGATGCGACAAAGGGCAAATGACCTAATCTATTTTGGGTTATTTTCACCCAAGTACAACGAACTAACTCACTTACCTCCATTACAATTCTTCCCATAGGTTGCCCATCAGCGCTGACATCGAAGAAAACCCTAGGGAGCGACATTTTCGTAGCAAATTGGCGAAGAACTGAGACACAACTACTCAAGCTCAGCCGGTTATGGATGCCGGTTCTCTGAAGAGAACAGGATTGGCGGCACACACGGAGCGCTACGAATGCCATCTTTACCCCACGAGTCGGAACGATTCTAATAAACAGTATATGCAAAAGATATCATATTGTAATAAAAATAAAAACATGAAAATACATAGAAATTATTTATTTATGTCGAATAAATGTAAAAATTGTGTTATTCTTGAAAAGATATAAACAAAATGGGTAACTATTTCTTACGGCGAAAGTAGGCGAAGTCCCTGCTTTAACTCGTGTAAACCACTTATTGATATAAATGAAAATTATCAATATTTGTGGCTAAGAAATGCAGTGCAAATTAATGAAACCGAAAATTTGAATAACTAAAATAGTCAGTAATTAATTAATTTCAAATATGATCAGAAATATATTTTTAGATATGCCAGCATATGCGTTTGTGTAGTAACACTACTGGAGTCAGTTTTTACCAAATTATGTGTTAAAAATTGCATTTAAAGCTTCTCATGAATGAAAAAATCTTGAATAAATTAAGAAATTATTGATTTAAGTGTTAATGATTACTTCCTATGCTCATATGAACACTGTCAAAGCATACCTTTATGTTTTAAGTGATAATAGTGATGGCGTTACTCTTGTAAACTGTTGAAGAGGTTCAAACTTGAAAACAATTTTTTTTCGTTTCTTCTGGAAGAGGTAAATTTAGAAATAAACTTTTAGAACATGTTGTTATTCTCTGGTCAGAAGATACAGTGCCATGTCTTTCCGAATTGTGGCGAAGGGGCGTACATCTGTCAACGCGCTCGTGATGGAAAATGTTTTGTTTTGGGTTCTGTTTAAACAAAGACGCGCTCGAGTTGCCGGGCTTTTATTGGGCGAGAATAACGTGTTAAGGATTTTGACTTGTGCCTTTGATTATAGGATACATCGTTTTTATCCTCTGCTTATTTAATTGAAACATTTACTTAACGTATTGAAGTATTACATGTTTAGGAAGCGTTCAAAATATGAAAAGTTGTAAGTGGACTTTAGAAATAATGCCATAAATATTTTGCATGCCATCAGAAGCAGTTTCTTAGAAATACCTTGGAATTTTCTTTATAGGACGATAGTTTTAATTCTCAAAAGTAATTTTAAAAAATCACCTTTTCTTAATTTCTTCTTTCTATTGGCAGTTGCAAGTATGTCACAATTTGGAGCTACTACTAAGAATCCGCCATGGGTTCGTACTTCAGGTAATTTTATTGATATTATTTTTCAAATTTATCTCTGATTACTTGTGTTGTATTGGCTTATGTAGACAAGTTGTTCAATGAACATTTTGGGAGTTACCGACCAGTGGTTAAATTTTATTTTGTATATAAACTTGTGTTAAATGTGTCATTAATCATCTCTTGAATTCATTTTACAGCCCAAAATATTGCATCTACTCAGCAGCAACAACAACAACAGCAACAGCAACTGCAAACACAAATGTTAGGTCAAACAATGGGTACCCTTGGAAATCCCACAATGGTGCAGTATCAGCAGCCACAGCAAGTCTTCCAGACTCCTATGCAAATGCAACAGGTACTGTCAATGGAATTTTAATATTACAAAACAAGATTTTATGAGAAAGGGAAAGTTTGAATGTTTGAGATTAATAGCATCATTTTGAATGTAATGGTGAAAATTTATTCTAGTGCAGTTGTTTATTTAATGTATTTTAAAAAACATTGATACTGAAAATAATTGGAAAATGAGTTGTTTTCTAAGTTATTGTTTCTAATTGCCTTTATTGCCATTCTTAAAGAGTATTGATAAGTGAGTGCATTAAAGTATATTTAATGGGCTGTTTCCTTCCAGAATGATGTTAAGCCTAATGTGTAATAAGCAGGTCCCAGATGTTTACAATCTAAAAATGTTAGAAATATGCAAGCATTTATGACCTAAATCATTCCGCTAATTAAATAATCTAGCACATATACAATTTACACCTCCATAGGCACTCCGTGAAGACAATTTACTTGCTAAAGTTATTAAATAAATTTATAAAAGTGGTTGACCTTGACACCAAACCTGACAAAACTAAACACTTCCTTTGCATCTGGTGCTTTGTTCACTTTTTTTCCCCATCTTTATAGCTTTTGCTCGTAATTCACTTGTATATTTATAGGAAAGACATACAGTTATATTCAACAAAAACATTAAAAGTAGGAGTTTGAAAAATCTTTTTAAGATGACAGTAAGCAAGTATGCCAAAATGCAACAGTAAAATTAAAATATGACAAAAAATATGAACATACGTGGAAAACATGACCGTAATATGAAAAATTAATGGGAAATAACCAAAGGGTTAAAAAAAAAAGCCAAAATACTACTTTATATGGCACGTAAAAGTTACATAATTTTAGTTGTTGTAGATAAAATCATGCTTCTTTTACATTTTCCATGGAAATAACACTAAGAAAGCTAGTGGTGCTACAGAATGACTTTCCCGTATTAGTTTTCTATTTACTTTGGTTTCGGCTAGCTATATGAACTTACCACATACTCTTGCCAGCTGCCGTCTATCACTGCCCAAAATACTTTTTTTAAAATTTTTCGGTTTCCTACTACAATCAATATGTTATTTTAAGAATATTAAATAACTGTAAAACTTTGTCTTAAATGGCAATTTTCTTTAAAAAATTGGGAAGAATTTTTAAGATAATGACGCTGAAGCGCCGAAACTTGAAGCTCTTTTTCACAGAAAACTGTTCGGTTTTTGAGAAACTTTATATCACATTATTTAAAGAACATGTACTCATCAATATAATAATGTGAACAAATCGCCACTAATGTAAATATTAACAATGTGAGAGGCAAGTCAAAAAAAATTACATCTTTGTAAATTTTGAAAAAACAAAGGAATAGTGCAAACTGATTTTTATGTCGCCTCACAGAGTACATTTAATAATATTCCTACTGTAAGGTTAAAGAAAAAAATTGAGCAGTTTTTGAGAAAATCTTGGTTTTTGTATTTTTTAAATTTGCATGCAATACTGTGCAAAAACTGCTAAAATAAAAAAAAAAAAAAATGTACAGACCTTAATAAAAGGTTTATAGTCTAAACCGTAATAATCTAATTATGGACAACAAATTTCATTTCAAGGAAAAATCTATATCTTCTATTTTGTAGTTCTAGGAAGACACTGATTAAAATAAACTTTTGAAATTTTCAAAAGTCCAGAGTTAACCGTGAAAATCGGACCCTTGCCTTGCCACTTTTTTAAGTGTATGTTACTCTATTACAAGAAATTTAAAGACAAAATTTGGAGCCGTTTTTGAGAGAATTTTGAATTTGTCCAGAGGGTGTCATGTAAAGTACCCCCAAATTTTAAAGAAAGTTTTTTCAAAATCTCAGGTATTCGACTTGGGGAATTTCTTCAATTGAGAAAATCCTTTGCATGGTTTAGGCGCTATTACTGTTCACAGACGGACAGACCGATCCACTTCTTGGGTATCAGGCGACCCCAAAATGTGTATTTCTGTTGAAATCTTGAAATCTTTTTCCACAGCATTGCATAACTTCCCTTGTACTACATATATTGCTCCAAATATATACGAATGTATACAGGAAAGTAAAAAATGTGACATGTCGTAAACATCTAGCCCAAGAAATAAGTCAATATAAATTCTGTAGAATTGTAATGCTGGGGTGAATTTTATGCAAATTACTCACAAGTCTGTGCATCTTAGTAGTCTGCTAAATATTAGAATGGATTAAATATTTCTTTTGCTTGACTTCTGTTTAATGGTGAGGATAATCATACAGCATGTGAATTTGAACATCATAATAAATAAGGTTACACAACAGCCTTGATTGTAGAAATCGGGAAACTTTCAATGGTCGGTTATGTCTATATAATTTTTTGGCCTAGTTGACTTTCTTCTCGCCTCTTGAAGTTTCAAGTAGATGCCAAGCTCTGGCATTCAGCATGCTCTGCTCATATAACTTTCTTGAGTCAGAACACTGCTGAATTACTAATGTATTTTGATGCCAAAAATTCTCATGGGTATGTACGTTTAATTTATGAGTCTTTTCAAATATTTGGGTTTAAGTTCATGATAAATTGTATCCTTTTTCTTAATAGTATTTCTGTTCTCATGTTAAAGTTTCATTAGCGAGAACCGTTTTCTGTTATTTTGTGAAATGTTTTACTTTGTGGCCAAGTGAATACTTGTCGAGGTTCCTTCCATGAGGTCTTAGTAAAAATGTAAATCAAATGTTTCTTTTTAATAATAACTGCTTTATTTAACATCTTTTTCTACTTTTCATAAAAAAAATTACTCTAATAGTTCTATTTTAGTAACTTGTCATTTTTTAGAAGATTGAATGCTCAAATTAATTACATAGTTGCTAGGTGGCTACACATTCCTTTAACTTTTCAGAACAGAATAACTTAGAACGATGATTACTCCTAAAAGACAAAACATGGTAGTTTGCAAGTGGTGCATCTGTAAAGATGTGTCCTTAATGTCTGCTCAATCGCATAATTTTATTTAAATAACTTGAATTGATTACATATGAATTTATTTAGTGTCAGTGTACCTGTTCAATGTGTGCACACTGAACTTTGCACATAATTTTACATAATTCAGCATTGTTTTGCAGCATAAAGTGTTTTCTGCATTATGTGTACATAACTCACCACAACTGTCTGAATTCCCACTGTTTTTCTCATTTCGGGTGCTGTTTGCAGCTAATATTCATGTCTGTTTATGATCGTTTTGTGATTTGAATTTTAATAGAATAACATTAATGGCACAAGTGTTATTTGGATGTACTGGATGATGCCTTAATGACTGCAGAAACATTTGTTTTAAAATAAATTATTGTGTGTGTTTAAAGTGAATGTATTTATTTCAAAAATGTGTTATAGCTTCAAGGGCAAATATAACTTGAAATGTTAGTCAGTGATGTGTGTCTATGCATAGCCTACATTTACCTGTAAAAAGCATGTACACAAAATACACTGAGTAATCTATGTAGACAAAGGTAATTACATGTTTTGCAGCGGAGGAGGTTCACAATGTTTGGTCAGGAGTCTGCATTATTCTGTGCATAGATATTTTTTTTAAACTAGAAATATAGATCAGAATTACACTAAAAAACAAATTCTCTAGAAGAAAAATGAAGCAAGAACAGAAGTAGTATTGCTGTGTGAACTTTATTCTTCGCCTTTGTTAGATGACATCCACTTTTTTTGTGTGTGGTCATCAAACTTAGATTTCCAAATCGATAGACTTGGTAGTGTCTAACACAAATATTTCAGAATTCATGCACCTCTTCCTGATCTGTTTCTGAATCATGATTACATTAGGATATCTCTGGTATCTAATATTCCAACACTAGAATCATCGAGAATTTACGACGATCTTATTTATTTATACAAATTCTTCTTTGGCTGCCAGTCGTTGGTATCCCAACTGATGTTTTGTATCCTCATTAGGCCGTTAAAATATTTGTTAGCCATTTCTTTTACAGTATTACTGTAAGGCCTATTTATCATATGACTTTCTTTCCAGAACCTGTAGTTTTGTAAATAATTACCGAGTTCAAATTATGGATGAACATACTAACTTCTAATATTTCCAGTACAATTGATGTTTTGTGTTTATTGTTACTATTTCTTTTTACCACATGGTATTATTTTCGTGTGTATATAACTAAGAGCTATCTTATTTTTGCATATGATTGTAAATTGGACATAATGGTCTGTAATATAATAAATAAATATGTACTTATGGATTTTTGGTTGATTTTTACATGACAAACCTACGGATTGTTGTGTTTTCTGAAATTCTCTTCTATCTTTCTGCTTTTTTTTAAACCTTCAGACTCTCTATTACTTATATAGTTTCTGTTTGGGGTTTGGGTTGGCCCGCACAGTTTACTCTATAGTTTACAGTTGAGTATTTTATGCACAAGTGTTATTTGAAAATAGTAATTGAGAAAATAATGCAATTAATTCCCTTTTTTACTACATTTAAATAACAGAATAATATTTAAAAAAATTCAAGCATATCCGCTTATATCTATACATACTAAGTGTTTATCTTGCCTGAATGAGAATGGTTGAAATAGGGCAACTTGTAATAGAGAAATGCGCCTTGATTATCATTCAGAAATTACACCATTATATTATTAAATGGAAATAGAAACTTTTTTAGAATTTTTCTTGTAATTTAGAGGGGTAACATGAAAGATTTTAGGGGGCAATTCTGACCCCAGTTGCATTAAAATCAACTTGTTTTGAACCAAGAAAACTTAAAAACGCTAAAAAAACACATGTAACACAGTACATAAATGCCATCTCTAAAAGGAGTTCATGTGAATAATTTTGAGTGTGCCAAACACTGTTTATACTAGGGGTCACAAGTGACCACAATCATTCTAAGGGTTAAATAGCAAAAATAAGTTTTTAACTTCTATTTGCTATGTCAAGTTTTCTGTTATGTGATGATATTTGATAGTTTTTCCTGATCATTTAAGTTTTCATTCACAAAGGACATTTTTTTTTTCTTTCTGTTTCATGAGTTTTAAGTTTTATGCGGTATTAATTTTCACATTGTTTTGCTGTCCTTATTAGTACACTGTCAGAAATGTCATAAAATTTAATGTAGATTAATGTACATAAAACTTAATGTTCCTGTACATTAAATTTAATGCTAAAATTAAACTATATGTAGATTTAATATAGAAGTTTTCCCATTGTCCCTGCCTCTCATCATTCATATCATACGTTAATAATCTTTAAAGTAATTTTATTATGATAGTAATATAAATAAATTATTTTAATGTATATTAATAAAGTAATACTGAAATTTCTGACTGTGAACTTGAGATGATTGCAAATCCTCTTAAGTTTTGTGGTTAATGAAATATCTGTATTGTGTTTTTGTATACTTCATTTGACTTCCTGAATCCAAAATAAATTTCGAATACAAACATGTTACTACTTGTTAACATTTTTAGATTACTGATGTGAAATATTCAATTGTCTACTTAAATTGCATTGTCTTCCTAGTCTATATATCAAAAGAAAAACATGCAGTGATGTAAAATTGTAGTCTGCAGCATGGCTCTGGTTAAAATAGCACTTTCTCTGTATAAAGTTGCATATGTGCAAGTTTTGAGAGGATCATTTCCCTGTCTATTTACTTTACATATAATATCAGCAGTTCAGCATAAGGTACGAGTATCTTAAGGCACTACACACTATTGATACTATTCATAAGCCCGCCACTATTACTTTGTATTTCCAATATAAACTTTCTTTAGTAATTGTAAAACAAATAAACAGCAAGCAATTTCCAAATTTCTTTTTGCAGAAATGACATTTTCATGAATAACAGCGGCCTTGCATAGAGAGTCAGAAAATTATGAATCAACGTCTGTGCCATTCTTCTTTGTGCTTGTGAATTGAGCCTCAGCGGAGACAGCTTTACTGCCCTTGCCACATGTATGTTGCGTGATTTTTCGTGGCAGTTTATAGCAATTTTCTATGTTACATTGGTCATATTTTTCAGTTCGATACCTGTTCTGTCTAGATACCTTTAAAGTGATATTTTAATATTGAGCATCTTAATGGCAGAAGTGCTCTGCTGATACAATGCTCTATCCCCTTCATTTTTTTAATCAGAGTTGGCAATAAGGGTAGATTATACCACTGGGAAAGCTACTGCTATTGTGTGTCTAGGCAATGACAGTTGGCAAAATCACGCAGTTCTAACGCAAAACACAAAGATGGTTGGAACAACTCATTGTGACATTATTTCTTTCGTAGATCGTCAATATATTGTGTATATCTGCAGTTGATAATTTTCGTGTCCTTATAAATGCCATTATCTTCCCAATGAGTGTGAGGTTTAAGAAACATTTCCTGCATTGTCAATTTTCTCATACAAATTATTCATTCCAAGTTGATACTTTAAGATGTATAATTAATTTTGAATTTTTACTTTTAAAGGCAGGAATGGCCATGACAACCATGACTGCTGCAATGGGCACAACTGGGGTTGCAATGCCTACAGCTCTTGGCACAACTCAGGTGAGATTGTTTTAAACTTGTTAGAAATATAATTATTAATAAATATTTATCTTTGGCCTAGAGCATTGGTTTGACACTGGATTTCTTTGCTTTCAGATGTTTCCACAAGTTGCCACTGTGAGTTATCCAACACCACGTGCACTTAATCCTGCTGCCTTCCAAAGCACAGCTGTTGCAGCCACTGCTGTACCTCCTGTGCCCCCAGCTACTCCGAATCCATCTCCTAAACAGAGAGTGTTCACTGGTACAGTAACGAAAGTGCATGATAATTTTGGCTTTGTTGACGAGGACGTTTTCTTCCAAACCAGGTACATGAAAATTGGAAATTATTTTGCATTGCATTATATTAATTTTAATTAAAATATTTTAATCAGTTGTTGGAACAACTATTTGTTTATATGATCATGTGCGAATTATCATTTGTAAAAAGATGTGATATTTAATTTTTCTTTTTATAGTTGCTGTGTTAAAGGTTCCAACCCAGGTGTAGGAGATCGGGTTCTTGTGGAAGCTTCATATAATCCGAACATGCCATTCAAATGGAATGCAACTCGTATTCAGGTTTTACCAATGACTACAACAAATTCACAGCGGCCACCTGCTAATTTAGGAAAGAATTTTAATAGTGGACCTGGAAATTATAATGCAGTCCCTCCTCCAGGTAGGATTTTTCATTCAAATGCTTCTTAAATAAGTGTTCAGAAAAAAAGAATGGTCATTTTTATAGCTTGTGACTATTTAAATTGTACTGTATCATCTAACAGTAAACTGTTTAAATGTCACTTAAGTAGTATGATAGTTGAGTTCATCAATACTTTAGTGACATTATACAGATTTCTGTATCTAAAGTAAGGAAAGTGCTTTTCAAAATTTGTATTCCTTCATCTTATCTTGTCACCATATTTGCCAGATTATCTGGATTACTTTTAGTCTCAGCTAGTCTGGGTCTTCTGTATTAACATTGTACTGAAGACACAATATGAATATTTTAAAATTTTACTGACAACAAACTGAAACTGAAATTATATCTGTAGTTCATGTTTAATTACAACAACAAAATTCAGTAGACTTCGGTTATAGCAAACTCGGATGAGTGAACCCTCAGTTATAGTGGACCTTGGTCCTGTCTGACTTACATAAAAAATAAGAAGATTTGGCTATACTGAATGTAGGAAATATTATGTCTTGGAAATTTCCTCCTGGAAAAGAATATATCGCGTAACAGACAAATTCCAACACCAGGCGGCTTGGAAAAAAGTATCGTCAGCCAAGGATCATAATCAAAGTCTTCATGAGGTGAAGGTTGCGGACCTGGAATAGGGTCATTTCTAATGACTGTATGCCACTCACTTTCACTGCAGAAACACACTGTGTCCTGCATGGGCCACAACTAATGATGGCGCGTGATTTCAGTTTGCGCACACAATGTGTCTGTTTAAGTTTGATGTTGTATTCTGTGAGACACTTGTTTTATGTAGGTGGCAGGTGCGCGACTGCCACAGCCCTACAGCCTGGTGCTCCCCCCCATGTCGCTGGGAAAAGCGATCAGTTTCATTATCCGCTTGAGCCACCTTGCTACCAAAGGGATCTCATATGTTATTAGACAAGTAAACCGGCCTTGGGAGAGTGGGACTATGTTCCAACAGTACAAGAGGCATTGAAGGGTGTCAAGACTGCATTACAATACTTAGAGCCAGTGGGCAATACAGAATCAAGTATGGAGAGAGCACAAGCTTTTGAGAAGGATCTAGAGGAATAACTAAACAATTAACCTAGGGAAAACAATTGCATTAAAAAAACTGGTGGTTTATTATCTCAGAGTTTTAATTTGAACATTGATGCTTTGTTGTTAATGTTGTATTCATAAAGTGAAGGGCCATTGCTTAGCCCTGTGAGTTAGCTCACTGTGAGATAGTGCAGGATGCTAGAGGCTCAAATGCTTCTGCAAGAAAATGGCATGCCTTGCAGCACTCTAATATAGATATTTTGGTTTTGATATATCTGAATCCAACTTCCAAAAGAACCTAGTGAACTTAAATTGTGATTATATCACTACTTATCAAAACAATATATAATTGCACCGGTTGAGAATTAATCATTGACAATGCACTTTTTGAAATTTTTCACTTTTATGTTTGATTTCTATAAGGCATCCTGTTGTTAAACAATTGAAACAAAAAGTGAAGGTTACTCTCAACCAACATCTGGTAACAGTAACCATCAGTAAAAGTTATTCAGTCACTTGGAAAATCACCACTGAAATGAACACATTGTTTTCAGGCCAATTTCTATCAAAGATATATATCACACTTTGCTGTTTGGGTTCTCTAGGCTTAGGAGAACAAAAAGTTTTCAGAATAGGTAAAATTTACTTACAATTTAATATTTAATTATCTAGAGTTTACTATATCTGAACTGTCTGCAAGTGAAGAACATCAGATCTTGTTCAGATGCTAGAGGAATCTGACAGCAAAATTAAATTGTTCGTTTCAATGTGTCATGCCACACTGATGAGTTTCTGACCTTCCGAAATAAACCACCCCCCTAGTGGAAATTCTTGAACATCATTTTAAGAGGTCAGTGTTTTAGCCTCCAAACCAAAGGAAAGGGTAAATGTACTTCCACTAATATCTTTATTATAATCGCAATCAGCAGCTCAGCTGTGAGGATCCGGCTCCTAGAATTGCTCGCTGCTGCTGCTGCTACTTCTTCCACTTCTACTTGTTCTTCTACTTCTACTACTACTACTTCTACTACTACTTCACTTCTTCTACTACTTCTATCTTTCTACTACTCTCTACTACTTTCTACTACTTCTTACTACTCTACTTCTTCCTACTATCTTTCTACTTCTTTCTTACTACTTCTACTTCTTTCTACTACTTCTACTTCTTTCTACTACTTCTACTTCTTCTACTACTTCTACTACTTCTCTACTACTTCTACTATCTTCTACTACGTCTCTTCTTCTACTCTACTTTACTACTTCTAACTTCTTCTACTACTACTATCTTCTACTACTACTTCTTCTAACTACTTCTACTTACTCTACTACTTCTCTCTACTCTACTTCTACCTCTCTCTTCTACTACTTCTACTTCTACTCTTCTACTACTTCTACTTTCTGTCTACTGGACTTCTACTTACTCTACTTCTTACTTCTATCTTCTTCTATTCTCTTCTCTTTCTTCCTTCTTCTACTACCTACGCTTTCTTATCTTTCTTCCTTCTTCTAACTCTACTTCTACTTCTTCCTCTACATCTTCTATTCTTTACTTCTACTTTCTTACCTTTCTAATTACTTCTATCTTCTTCCTTCTTCTAATACTTCTACTATCTACTACTACTACTACTACTACTACTTTTTCTACTTCTTCTTCTTCTACTACTACTTTAGAGTGTGTGCTTTCTCCTGTGATGGATCTTGACCACCTTCGATCATTTCTTTGGATTTTTTTGGAGAAAATCATGGACAGAAGTTTGTGTCTTTAACAGACAATAATTTATATTTCGCACCAGTGAAGATGTGTTTAGTATGTTATCATTAGTGCTCGCTGCACGCTATTGCCTTCATCTGTTTAATGCGCCAGAGAGGGGGAAGTAAGGCCTTTGTTCAAGAAAAGTCGATTAATAGTTGCAAGGATCCATGCATCTTTGTATTTTGAGCAGATACATTCTCCATTCCATTCATCAGGTAATTGACCCCATGCCATCACATTTTCATAAAATTTAATCGGAAATGAAGTTACTCACTTTAAACTCTCTAGATACACATTTCATTTATTTGAATTCAGGCAATGTGTACCTGGAGATTTCTAATGTTTACTGTTAATTTCTTCAAGATCCTGCATGTCGATATAGTCTACATTACTGACAGATTCCATTAGGACTGCATCAGCTTCATCATGTGTCCATAAATTTTGAAAATAATTTAACCATTCCTTTTGTGGTATGGGGTTTATTCTCTACAGTGCCTATAAATTGCATTTGTTTTTCTTAATTTTTTGAATCCTGCAAATTCTATTAATCTAGGTCCATTTTTGTATGAACCCTATTTCCTCATTTAACCAATAATGTTAGGAAAAGGGTTATTTCCATCTCTTGCATTGCAGTCTCCCTTTACCATCAAATTATCATATTTATTCATTTTATGTACTACAACTTGTAATACATCATCAAATTCAATTGTTTTCTCTTTTCTTCTTCATTACAGAGTTCATATTGCTATTATTGACATATTTTGTCTTTCAACTTTAATTCTTGTCAATATTCTTTCATTCACAAATGCATAAGACATTATGCTACTTTTATATATTAATTTCAAGATTAGGCTCTCTGTTGTTGTTAGACACTGCTATAGATCATTATATTTCTTCTAATTTTGTAGTACCTTTTAGTTTCTTTTTTTATGATATATCGTAATATCTGTGTGAGTTTATTTTGCTAAAATTATTTTTGGTTCGCAATCCCTACGCATAGTTTCCTACTTCATTCATTCATTCATTCATTCATCCATCCATCCATTCGAAGATCCCATTTTTCATTGTTCTTTTGTTCTTTGCTAATGTTGTCTTAAGGTACATCCAACTATTACTTCGGTGCTTGTGAGTAATAACCAATCCCTAAGTCAGGCTACCAAACCTATATTGGGTTTTCTGGGTGGTGAGGCTGTGTCCTTTGAGATACCTCTCTAGTATATTAACCCTAAAAGGAATGCCTTGTCTGCTCATTGACCATTGAGGTCTTTCTTCCTCGATCCTTGCAGATAGGTTTTCATTTATTCCTGAAGAGTAGATACCGCCTCCTTCCAGCTTAGAGGCCTTTTCACCATCCTCTTCTTGATTACTTTGTCTGACTCCTCACCTTTGACCTGTGGCAAGGAAAGCCCTAAGAGTAGCTGCAGGAGTATCGGCATAGCTCTATAAGTTCACTGAGGGAACTCCACCACCGTCAAACTCATGTACTCCTTATGTGGGCAGTACCATGATATTCACTTACATCAAGTAATTTTTTGTGTATCTTTAACAAAAGATCAGGATATTTTGTCTAACATCAAATCCCTGCTTATGCCTGTAAATGAGAATTGTATACTTTAATGTTTTTTGGTGGTATTTTGCCTTATTTAAAATATATCTTTTTTTTTAGAGAGTTCAGGAAATTCCAATTTTGCCAGAAATAATCAGCCAAAGTCAAGACGGCGAGAAAGATCTAAAGAGAGAGGAAGAGACACAGATGAAGAAGAAACTGATAGAAAGAAACGTAGGGAGGAGAGAGTTAGGTAAGTTTCAGTGATGTATGTGAGTAATTCGAATTCTTGTCATTGACAAGTTGAATAGGAGTGAAGATAAATGTGTTAGATACAGTCCAATTAAAATTTATTAGGTACTGACAGCAAGTGTGTTACGAAGGACAGGGATCTTGTCACTTATCATACTTTAACTATCATAGTAATCATGCACTTCAATTTTTGATGTCACGACAGAATGTCAAAGCTCATATTTGTCATTCTTGTTATATGAACTTTTAAGTGAAAATGAGATTAGGTACATAATAATAATTCTGCAATGTGATATAAAATGTAGGTTCTCCAATGTTTTAATAGTGGACCTAAAACTTGATTTAAACTGGGTAATTACCAAAGGTAACCCGTTTGACATAACAGAGCAATAATAAATATGACATACATGGACTAGACCGACGGAATTGTGCCTGTCATGCAAGTACGGGGCAAAAAAGTATTTCCTCACTTCTGACTGTCAATCTAGGATTTCAATTGTACAGGGTATTAGTTTATTACTGACTATATGATGATTGAATTGCATCTCATATCTTAAATATGTCAAAGAATAATTGAATGTAAATAAGAATAAGTAAATTACAAAAATTGTTTTTAATAAAATTCTTTTTACCCTTGAGCCTTACTTATAAAGTATATTGGTCTGTAAAATGGTGAAAAGTTCCGCAATTTCTGCTTTCATTACTTGGATGTGGTACCTCTGTGTTAAGGATGAATTGAATATGCCAGCATATCTAATATGGCTGAAGTCCAAAATTTGGATAATGTCATGTAGTCAAAAAGTTTTGGTAAAGCTGTATGAATTATACTGAATGAGTAATTTTGAACATCGTCATGCTAATGTTGGCATTAGCCACTGGGCACTGCCTGAAGTAAAGTTGTGCAAGAATGAGGTGTCTTGTGTGTTTGCGAAGAAGTATTTTGGTGTAAAAAAAAAAAAAAAAAAATATGCGGAAAGTATGCATTGCACAGCCTCAAAGTTGTTTTACGTAAATTGCAAAGATTGAAGGGTGGCGCCAAGTATAAAGGGCTCTCGTACTCATATTGCTTTTCTTTAAGCTTCATATCCACCAATCCAAACTAATGATGCTTTGGTACAGCGCAAACATCCTTTTAATACTTTTCTATATAAAAAACTAAGCATACAACACTTGTTTATCGTGAAGTTTCCTCCCGCAAAGGAAGTTCAAAACGCAAGATAACTTGGATAGCAGTGGTGAATCCTGCTAATAATTTTGGGGGGTCGGGGTGGAAACCATCGTAGATTTTTATTAAATAATAAACATATTTGTTATTACGTTATATATTATTTATGTACTGTATATAGTGTTATTGATTAAACCATTATAAATTTAATGCAAATGAATATTTAAATCAATTTTTCCAAATTAAGGAAGGTAAACAGAAACTCTAGGCCTAGATTCACCAGTGTTGGAGAGCAGGTCAGTCATTAAATTGGGTCCCCACCTCTTCTCATCAACTTGAGGGTAGAGGGTTGTCGTAAAGTTAGATCCCACTACGATGAGAGGATTTTGAGGGCTCCTTGGAAAGCTTTGGTAGCATTTTCATTGCATTGCAGAGTGACCACCTTGGTGAGCTTAGCACAAAATAAACACATTGATCTACCTTCATTGTAATAAATGTAATTGTAATTCATTGTAACAAAAGAAAATCTCTTTTGTCACTTTTTTGGTCTGAAACCTGTCAGATTACGGAGTTTGTGTTCATAGTTCCTAAACTGCAGATTATAAGGAATAAGGTTATGAATTTAATTGTGGCATTCCTCTCAAAGGCTGGGCATGGTTAGCTGCCCAAGTAAGGAATATTTTGCAGTACTGCTCGTCTTGTTTTGTAACCAAGGACACTGGATTATTTTCCAAATTGTTAGTAGTATTGTTCAATATTCCTTTCTCTTTCAAGGTTTGTTTATTTCTTACTGAATACTCAGACAATTGGTTATGTTTTTGTTTAGGGATAGGGAAGAGAAGGAAAAGAGGAGTCCATCAGTTCGTCGAAGAAGTAAGAGTCCTCGTCCAAGGCCAAGGCGGTCGAGAATAGTACCACGATATATGGTACAAATTCCGAAAATTTCTTTAGATCTGTAAGTATCTCAAAAGGAGAGTGAATATTTTCATTTGTTTCAACATTATAAAACTTTTGTTCTTCCTGTGTCCAGGCCTGAAGCCGATGTATTAGAGTTAAGAAGACGGTATACCAATCTTTATATTCCATCTGACTTCTTCTCTACTAACATCAGATGGATAGATGCTTTTCCTCCTACAAGTCCATTTACTCTTGACCGTCCTTGTTCGTTCCATGTTATGAATAAAGAAGTTGATCCAGTTCTTGAAAACCCTACAACATTGGAACCTGCAGATGCTGATTATTTATTTTCTGCAAAGGTGGGTATTTGTACTTCTTAATACAAGCAATAAACCATGAAATATTTCCTCCCATTATTGTTCAAACTGAATACCCGTAGGTGATTTTGTTTTGTAATAATGCAACATTGAAAGCTTGGGAAGTTTTGGATACGCAATGGGTAGGATTATGCTGGAAGTGAATATTGTCACTGTAGTTTGTGTTGTAGTGTGACTTCTCATTTGGAGAGTTAATCACATCTCATAATTTTTTCTTTTAATATATTTTGCCTGGTCTTGTATGAATAGTGATGGAGCCCGGATAATTATGTAATATGTTCCAAAAGTAATTTTGCCAAATCAAATCAATGATATCTTTGTTTCATATCGGATAGTGCCAAGAAACGTTGACTTTTTAGTACATATTTTTACGTATTTTACCTGAAAGCACATATTTTACCCAAAAGAACATTTTTCGTATTACTGAATTTTTCCATTTTTTTCTGCATTTTTTATTTAATTATTCATTTTCCTGTATGTTTTTGGTAAGGAATCTTCTAGACAACCAATTCAGTTTTGTCAAACATTCTTTTTCTGTAGCCTTGTCTCTAAAATGCCGCTATTTCATTGCATTGAAACAAGTCCATCCATAAATACCAACATTATTGCTAATAAAGTGGCAAATCGATGATGCAGTCCCTGGTTCTAGTGTGATTTTCAGTGTATTGCAGAGAACACAAAGGAAGTTAGGTTTATGAAAATGATACGTTTAGGTGGCATAGTGCGCACCCACGTTGCATTTTTCAGGAGTCTCCTTTGACCTTGATACCCTTCACCAGAAACTATTCACCCAGCTCAGAATGCGCTATTAGCATATTTCTTCTCCGATTGTCACATGATAAATATCCGCTGTTGTTTGTAAATTATCTCTTTGGGTCAAAAAACTGAAGTAAAATCACGATGTGGTACTAAAACTTTCGGATTAAACCTTATGGGGCAGTGGTAGTGCTGAGTGAGAATTTAATAAAGGCAAGTACAGCTGTTTTTAATTTTTCGAAATCCATGTTGGCAATTTGAAAACAGTGTGTTCTGAGAAAGGTTTCCATTTGTACGAAAAAAATTCTCTCTACTATTTTTGAAAAAACTGACAAGGGAAATTGGCCGATATTTTTGAATTAAATTTTTGTGGCCTATTTTGAAGAGTGACTTAATCTTAGCCGTTTTGAAAGTACGGAAAAGTTCTGATTCATAAGAATGCATTAAATATGTGAGTTAACTGGTGTATAAAGACAGGCCCACAAGTCTTTAACAATCCGGAAATTCATCTAATAGAGAATTCCATAAGAAGTTTAGGCAACGAACATTGCGTCTAAAGTTTTTGGGGTGAAAAGGGTATGTTTCTTTTGTGAAGTGGTACCCAAACGCAACCATCAAACTATTGCAAAACTGTTACCAATACAATGGCATTTTTGTGGCCTGGAGTTAAACATAGGAACATCTTCCTTCTGGTACTAATGCAGCGACGTACATGTAGAAGGCAGCAGAAGCCCTGCTGCTGTTGTATCCAAAATTACCACTTCTAGCCTATACTGTGCACGTGTTGGGTTGCAGAGCTGATTAGATCTCAAGTTGATAAAGTTGATGCATGAATTTTTAATACCAAAAAAAAAAGGAATAAACAAGATGGTGCACCTGGAGTGATTCTATGAGCTAGAATGCTGTAAATGTTGTTTTTATACATATTAGTTATACGTTAATTTGATTCTGATGCAGCAACATCCATGTGCATATTAAAGCAATTGCATGATGCTGAAAAGCTGAAAAATTATATTGCTCAATTTTTCAACAAGTATTACAATTAAATCTTTGGAGTCAAGTCTTCCTTGAAAATTTCTTTCCTTGAAATTGCCCAATCAGCAGTCGCTTTTTTAAGAATTGTTCATTTATCATTTGTAGATCAAAAGGGAATCTAGTGAAGAAAAAGAGGTCTTCAGTTTTGGAGAAAACCCCGGGTGCGAAACAATTTGTGCAATGCTTTGAGGGGACAATTTCTCCACACTGGATATTGACAACACGCCAGAGGATCTGTGCAAGTTTAATACCCACTGGTGCCTCATGCTATGCACAATGTTCTTTTAGTCAGTACAAGGCCCTCTTTCAAGATAATAGGAAACGGATATTTGTTTCTTATTTTTTTGGAAATCGTTGTAAATAATAGGATGAGGAAGCGTATAATGTTTAATTTTGGTCCTTATATTGTGAAGCAGAACAATATGCACGAAGATAGAAGTATTTTAATTAAAAATTATTAATTAAAAGATATATATTTTTTCCTTTTTACTACATATTTCTGTGTATAATACATATATGTACATATTTTCCCAATTTTTGGTACATAATTATCTGGGCCCTAATGATTACCAGTTGGAACAAGAGCTGATTTAGCACTTTTCACTGTATTAAAATTAATTTTTATAAATTGCCTTGGTTGTTTATATATTTTGATGGTGTTAATATCAGTATATTTTAAAATTGTAGGTAATGCTTATGAGCATGCCTTCCATGGATGATGTGTACCGCAAATGCTGCCAACTTGCTGAAGAGAAAGATAAAGATGCTGATGAACGTGATTTTGTTCATCCTACTCGGCTGATCAACTTCCTCGTGGGGCTGCGAGGCAAAAACGAAACCATGGCTGTTGGTGGCCCGTGGAGTCCATCTCTCGATGGACCTAATCCTGAGAGGGATCCGTCTGTGCTGATCAAGACTGCTATTCGAACATGCAGAGCCCTCACTGGAATTAATCTTTCCAGTTGTACACAATGGTAAGTCAAACCTGATTCTCTTTATTTTGAAAAAGTCTCTTAACAGTTGTAAGAATGTTCTGTTCAATCAAAATATTGCTTTAAGGCTATTTTTGTTTAAAGTATGGTAAAGTGAAAATAACATTATATTTGGTATCATTTATGTATATATAGAGTTAGGTGAGAAAGGTAAGCTGGACACATGCAAGGAGATTTGATTGATCTTCCGGCAATCTGCTTTTCTGATTACCATTCAGGCTAATCATATGGTTGAATTTAAAGAATAACTATTTCATAGGGCAGTGGCATTTAATACAGTGGATGTTATTACTAGCTAGTAAATATTTAACATGCATGTGTTTCATAAGCTACACCTGTTCACAATAGCTGTGCATGACACTTACTTTCTTTGTCATCCAGGACGGAGAAGAAATGTGAATCATTGATATATGAAAGGTTCAGTTGATATTAAAAAATGCATTGTTCCTATCATAAACAGCAGTAAGAGAACATCTCCGCTTCCAAATTATGCTTGAAGTTGTAGTAGACATTTTCACATATAGTATCAAAACTTGCTATAGAGGTTTGATTAATGCAGTGTCAGTCACAGTGTTGGTAGAGAAGGATCATAAGAAAAACTCCGTGAAAACTATTTCATTGGTGTTTTACAATCTAAAATCTGAATCTTTTGTCTCTTTTATATTGTCAAATTGCAGTTCATTATATATTTTTTTAAATTTATTTTTTAAGTTGCTTATAATCATATGAATGACTTGCTTTATTATATTTATAATCACTTCAAGAGAATATTTAATCGTTTTCAGTGCATTTTGAAATAATCTGGAAGATAAATTAAAACGAAGACAGTTATTAACCTTTTTGCAGCAATTTGCATGTGCCTTGTGGTCAGTGTTTTTTTGTTTCTGTATTAGTACTTACTATTGATAAATTAGTGCTACAGTTCATAAGGATGAAGGGCAATAAGGTCGGAAAACTTAAATGTATGAAGTAAGGTCGGAAAACTTAAATGTATGAAGTAAGGTCGGAAAACTTAAATGTAGGAAGTTCAATGTTTGCTTGTGCTGCTACATTTGTATCTCTTTCAACATAATAAAGTCCTTTTTGAGTATTAATGTTACAATGATGCATGAAGGTGTTTAAGCTTTGGCCACACCTTATATAAGCATGAATGCTCATGACTGGAGGATTATGTGTGAGTGATGGATCTTAATTTACAACTTCATTCCTGAAGTGTAGGGGTAAGTTTTGTGTTGTTGGTTGTTGTTGTTGGATTTTTTTTTGGTATTTTTACAGTTGCCGAAGAACACATGCTTGTGTTGATGTTGCCCGCACTTTCTTGCCTTTAGGTCTTTTTTTATTGTGCCCTGCTGTTAAGTTGCTCAGTGTTCTGATTTCGGAAGAAGTAGCATTGGTTGTTCCGCATTTTGTGTCATTCTGTCAGTATTAATGTTGTTGTAACCAGAGGGTAACTTTTGACCCTCACAGGTATCGGTTCCTGGAGATTTACTACCGTCGTGGCGAGACTACACACAAGGGGCGTGTGGTGCCAGCGCGGGTTGAAACAGTGGTACTATTTCTCCCAGATGTTTGGAGCTGTGTGCCTACCCGTCTCGAATGGGACGGCTTGCATCTCAACTACAAGAAGCAACTGGAACGCAAGCTGAAGGCCGACCAGGATATAGCAAATGGAGCGACGGGCGATGAAAAGGCACAGCAACCATAGCCTAGTTACTTTCTCTATTGCTTTCTCTCTTCTCCCTCCCTTGTGGTGTGTCACCTGTGAAAAGTATATATATAAAATTTGTTTTTCTTGTCAGGCATCAGATGGGAATGAGTGATTCCATCGAAGAACAGTGGCGCCATACTTCAGGGCAACTGGCTGATGATGCAGATTCTTGCAGAATGGATTCTAACAGCTCACAATAAATTTTTCATAATGATAGCTGTTGTGTCGTTTATTTTGAATTAACAAATTCTGTCATGGGTTTGGTGGAATGGGTGCCTTGAAAGTATTTCAAATATAATTATTGAAGAATACACTTTTAAGAGGTGTAGGCCCTGACAACAGATCGAATACAGTAAAATCATAAGTATATAAATGACAGGTTTCTGATATGTGGTTAATAAAACAGCTGTGATATCCAGCACCTGGATGTGTTCTGTAAGTTCAATCTGAAGTCAGTAAACATTTGAGTAAATGTTAAAATCTTTTGGCTGTTTTTGCAATGCTTTCCCTTCAATAATAATGACTTTCCATAAAAATCGTGCAGTACGATTTTGAAAGTTGAGGAATGATAAGTGATTTTACTGTAAACGTATATATTCAAGTTACATCGAATGGTAGGTGTTTTTATTATTTTATTTATTGCTCATTTCAGGCGAAAGGTGAGAAAGTTTTTATTATTTTATTTTGCAGTACCTGGTCATCTTGTGACAGTCTAGTAAGTAATTAAAGTTAAATGAAAACCGTTATTGACAGAATTTGTTAAATTTAAAATTACTCAAAATCTCCTTGATTAGAGTGGAGGTACTCATGTTTATGCAGTAAATGATTGTAAGTTATAAAGATATCATAAAACTTTCCAGTGATCTTAAGTATATATCAAAGAATTCTGCAGCCTATTTCATCAATACTTTTTTTAAAAATTATTTTGGATTGAATGATTTTTTTTTATTTGGACTCGTAAAGATAAAATATTATGCTTTAGAAGCTTCTTCTTTCTTTGCAACAAGAATTTGGGTCGAAGTAGTTCCCTGAATCTGGCAAAGCTGCTAAATTTTACTTGTGGGTGTGTGCCACCAGTATCCAAGGTTGAGATGCTCTTGGTGGGGCAGACAACAGCTACGTTCAGCAATGCTGCTGCAGTGTTGATGTGAATGGAGTTGAATAAAAAGCTGACCACGTTTTGGTACTTTACTTTTGGTTGCTAAAAATAGCACCATAGTATCCTAGGTAAATGTTGGCTGAAAGCAGTGATGAGGCGAGTTCCACCAGTCATAAGGAATTTTGGGTATTGTGTGCTTGCTTATGATTTTGATATGGAATGGCTCTTTTGTTGCCTGTGACAGAGGAATCCTGTAAGCAGGCTTTTAACACATTTTTTGTGTCATAGGTAGATGCACGTAAGGGAAAATTGCTATTAAGCAACAGACCGTAATATGAATGTGTTCGAGCCTTTGGTGATCTGTGTATTCGTAAGATTGTGTTGAAAATGCAAACTACATTTGAAACACAGAGCAACTGCCTTCACTTTCTACTGAAAAAAAAAGAGTGCTTTGTTCTCTGTGTCTTCCTCAAGAACAGAGTTTTAAGTTAAAGTAAAAGTGTTCTTGGTTGATTTAAATGTATTTTGAGGCATTATGTGAAATTTTGTTGCTTATCTTGACTCTCTAATCTTCATAACAACCCAGCTTTAGTTATGCTTTTTAGCTCCCTTACCTTAGCCCTGTTGTGTTTTTAGGCAGTTGTGCACTATGATCACGCTTTAAATGAAATGATAATAATGGATTAATAATTTGATTGCAGGAAGAGGAGTGTACACAAGAAGTCAAGCGGGAACCTACACATTATTCAGAACTTGACCCAAAAGGGATGAAGGTATGAAATTTAATAGCTCTGTTCTGCCTTAAGTTTCAAGGTAGTATGCTAAATTTTTATTGCTAACTGCTTCACTGCTGTTAGTATGATTCATTTAAGAAAATTATTTTCAGAGTCTGCTATACGATGTATCAATGTCCAGTGTTCAGGTACTTTTTTCTCCAAATTGATTTTAAGATAACAAAAAAATTCAATACGTTCTGTAGACTCCTTTTGCTATTTTGGTCTTTCTTTGCAAATGTGAAAAATAATATTTGGTAATAATTAAATAAATCATTCATTCAATTTAAAATTCGTTCATTGTTCAAATCCGGTAGATTATATATCATTTTCTTTAAATATGTTTTTTATATCTTCTCTAGGTTAACGAGCTGCGGCAAGAACTTGAAGCTCGAACTTTGAGTCCAAAGGGTCTTAAATCTCAACTGATTGCTAGACTTACAAAAGCTATCAAAACAGAGGCTGAGAAAGCAGAAGAAGAGAAAGAAGATAAGAAATCTTCAGACCCGGATCCTCCTCCAAAAGCTGAAGTAGATACAAAGGATGATGAAAAGAAGAAAAAGGAGGTAATTTGTGTTTATCTATTTAATTTTAAAAATATGGAAAAAATGATCTACAGAATCTTCTGGAATAAATAGAATTCCCTGATGGGTCATTGGTTACTACACTACCAGCAGTGTAAAACCATCTTGACAGTTTCATATTCATTTGCCATGCAATCATTAACCCCATTGCACCACATACATGACAACAATGAAATCTCAAATCATTAACACCATGTATTGGGATTTATCATCAGCAACATCATGTATTGGGATTTATTTCAAAGCATATTTTTCAGCCTAACCTTATCGTTACCCAGACTGATGGAATGAATACTGACTGCTGACAGGCAGCTTTTGGAGTGACTCAATGTGAGCCATATGAGCAGCAATGCTGAACCATGGTTGTAGCAAAGTAAACAAATTTCCTCCCAATCTGATTATCTCAGAGCAGGTTTGCATGACCTTGCACATTACATGATGAGTCACTTACATACTTTTGGAACTGTAGCAGGAAGAAAACTATTAAATCTTAGATTTTCAATTCAGATGTTAATCTTTGACCTATGATCAAAGTGGCCTGGGGATAGGGCAAATAAAAAGGGTATTTACTTCTAGGCAGAAATCAAGGAAAGGGTTGATGACAAAAAGTGTAAAAGTAAATTTCAACATAATTAAAATATTATTATTATTATTATTATTATTATTATTATTATTATTATTATTATTATTATTATTATCATCATCATCATCATCATCATCAGAGCTTGGATAATTATGTACTAAAAATTGGGAAAATTTGTACCTATATATGTGATAGAGTTTACTAAGAGAAGCATAAATTCTTATCCGTATCCCACCCTCTGCCATCCTGAGAAACCTTTGGTCTCCAAAGGGACTTCGATGTGCTTCATGTGATCAGCGGTTGTCGTGGTGATTCTTGGTTATCCTCTCCACTATCGACTTAAACCACTTTGTACTGATCAGGACTTCATTGACCTTATATGCCCTTCTGGATATTTAGTGCTAGCCTGAATTGTGCTCTCTTGATAGCCACTGAATCACCCCATCTGTAAGCCCTTGCCATGGCAGCTGTCTTGTCATGCATTGCTGAATTTTAAGAATATTCTTCATTGCGATGGCTCTCCTCTTCCTTCTTTGAACACCTTCACAGCTTTTAAAATGTTGACAGCAAATAATGTTCCTCTTGATCTTGTTCTCTTTCGATTAATGCTGACACTGGACTTGTATACTCACTTGCACTTTGTCTTATTACACTGTCTTTTAGCCGTCATTCGACTTGCTCATCAGCTATGCATTTTTCTTTCACGGTCAATCTTCATGGTGGTAAACTGATCGGCTCTTCATCCTTTAAGTTAATTTCAGCCTGACACTAGTCTTCACATCCTTCTCTAATTTGTAGTTAGCGACCAGCTGTTTGATCAGACTTTTACGAGGTTCAAGAGCATCAGTATCGGGCATTGCCGCACATTACAAATCATGTAAGCTCTTCTATGATGCTATCAGCTGGAGCCTCTAAGTTCAGAGTCTCTGCGCTGATTGCAATCTGTTTGGTAGAAGTCCTCTCCTGTTTCATTGTCACCTTAATATCCTTTACTGATTCCTGACCTAAGATGAATTCTGCATTCATGGTTTTTGCTTGTAGATGTAAACTGGAATTCTGTATGTTTCGCCACAATGTCGCCCTTCCATTCTTCCATCCTCATGGGTTTCAATGTGGCATTCCCCAATCCCATAAATAATTGTGTTGCCTTCAGAGTTGGATCTCCCAATTTCTTGTATACATCCCACTGCATCTGGTTGCCATCACTTCCTGTATACGTGAGTGCACAACACTCCACTCCGTTTCTTGTGATTGGACGAGAACAAATATACTTGTCCTTGCTCTACTGGATGCAACTTACCTCCTCTTCCTCCGAGCATCTGTGAGAACTATGCCTGAATCTGTTGCATTTAAAAACGTTTTCCGTACTCATACAGTCTCCCAGATCTCTAAATCCACATTAAAAAAACTGTTTATGGTCTGTCATTCTGCAGTCTTCATTTCCTTGTTGCTGGAGTTTCCACTGCTTCTGGTCTTTACTTGACACTGTTTTCAACTGACATATCATGTCTTTCATTCTGTTGTATGTTTAAAGTTTCTTCCTTAACTCTTGAATTGTCTCCACACCTTAAAGCATTACCTTGTTAATCTCATGTTCTGGAATGCCATCAATCAAAGTTTCCTCTTCGATTTTCCTCTAGTGTGCAATCTCCATTATTGAATATACATATTGTTGTCCTGTTCGGTTGGATGGCAGCCTAAGTTGATGCAACTGGTTGTGGATCGCTGTGGAACTCCTGACATTGCATTCCTGATGGCATTCCAATTGGATGTCTTTTGCAAATGCCTAATTCGTCATCACTTCCGCACAGTTCCCCATTGTTTTTCTGCGTGAATTTACCGATTGAAAAATTACAGTCTGTGTCTTGCTCGTCTATCATTGTACTTCTATCTCTTTCCACGTTTTCTTTCTTAGAGTTGTCAGGCATTTCATCTTCTTTGAGGTCGACAAGTATTAGTGCGGTCTTGTAGCGTTCTATCAGTGTCTTTTTTTTTTTCCCCTGTAGTTGATAGACCTATGTCCAATGATGCTATAGGCTCCTTCAACTACTTCATCATCCACTTTGTGAAGTCTTTTTCTGTAGTTGTCATGTACGTACCTTCTATGCTCTCTTACATTTTGGCCTGTGCTTTCTTCCCCCCCCTCTCTCTCTCTCTTTCTCTCTCTCTCTCTCTCTCTCTCTCTCTCTCTCTTTTTTCCCTCTCTCTCTCTCTCTTTCTTTCTCTCTCTTTCTGTCTCTGTCTCCTAGCTACTGGTCATTTTGATGTAATCTGGTTCAACTTACCAGTTACTTACCATCACTGTACCCTATTATGAATTGCCCAACTTGACAATTCACCTACTTAGTTTTGATTGGAACTATACACAACCTCTAACCTGAAATGCAACACTTCATTCGCACAATCCGGCTCAGCCCCTCGCAGCCCCCATATGTAGGATTGAGTTTATTGAGAGCAGCATATAATTTTCTGACTGTTTGGTTTATTTACAACTTAAAGATATACATCAAGTATAGACCCTTGTACGAATGTCACCTCACAACATACATTTCAATCAGATCTGTCTATTATCCCATTCAGTCACCATTTGCGCTCTCCATGGTTTGCGATCTTAATTGCTCTGTCTAGAAACCATGAAAGTTCCAGCCCCGTAACTCTTAATTCACTCATCCCACATATATATGTATTATAATATACAGAAATGTGCACTAAAATGTAAGAAAGAAATAACATTAATTATCATAGTATGTATTGTTGTGTTTCATTGATATAAAGACCAAAATTAAACTTTATACTCCTCAAAATTATATTTACAAAGAATGGAAATTAGTGTTTGATGACACTACATGGATATATGTTGTAAGATTTTGATTTTTCGTGGGAAAATACTTCTCCATGTTTGAAGAACACGGTACTTTTTTTTGAAGAAAAGTGTTCGAAGTCTTCTGTGTAGTGCTTCAGTTTTACACTCACATTAGAGGGATTTTGTCCTTCATCATTTTTAAGTAAAAAATGCAGATTGAGGTGATCTAAAAATATAAAGTAAAACCACAATGCTACTGTTCAATGTTTCTCACAGATTAGGAAATAAAAACAATGCTGGTTCGAATTTAACCAATTATTGACTCTCAGTTCGATTAAAATGTATGATATTCTTACCTGAAGCATTACTGCTAGACTGCTCTTAAAAGTCGTTCTTGCCTTGTCTAATTCTTCCTCAAAGTTAACACTACCCCATACAGTTTAATTTAAAAGCTCAGTGCCACATCATGATTTTACTTCAGATTTTCCAGATTACTTCTATTTTCTAGAGATAATTTACAATCTGCAGATGTTCGTGTGTGACAATCTGGGAAACAGAAATGTCAATGGTGCTTCCTAAGGTGGTGCATGTACGTAGTTTTTGGTGAAGGATATCAAGGTCAAGAGAAACCTCTGAAAGACGCGGAATGGTGGTGCGATATCACCTGCTCAATGTATCATTTTCACAAACCAAACTTTCTTTCTATTTTCGGCAGTACTTGCACCAAAAACAAATGCCTCAGAAGCTATTAGTATTCATGGACAGACTTATTTCAACGCAATACAATAGCACCATTTTAGAGGATGATGCTACAGAGAAAAAAGTTTGACATTGCTGAATTGTTTTTCTGGGTGAATCTTTGTCAAAAACAGTCAGGAAAAATTAATTCAATTTTTAACAAAGTGCAGGAAAATAGAAAAGTTGAGTAATATGTGAAAGTATGTTCTTTTGGGTGAAATATGTAAACATATGTGTTTTTGGGTAAAATTTGTAAAAATATGTTGTAAAATATCAATTTTTTTTACTCTGATATGAAACGTGAATATATTATTGATTCGACAAAACAGTCATTTTAGGAAAATATCTTATTACATAATTATTCGGGCCCTAATTATTATTATTATCTACATTGTGTATTTCAGTGCAGGTCTGATATATGTAGTGTGGGCTTTCTTTATTACAGGCAGTTGCAATTGAATATGATATGGATCAAGCTTTTGTGTTGGCCTTTTTATTGATTTAGTCAACTTGGCTCTACCATTTCAAATAAGATTTAACAACTTCTGAATTGTTCTGTTACAACATTGTCAAGGGAATGATTTCCTGCTAGTGTTGAGAGGAAGTAAGTGTTTCCGACTACTCATTTAGCGATATAAGATGAGGTTGTAGTTCCTGGAAGTGTTTTATTGGGTCAGGAAATACTTTGATGTCACCAGCATTACTCTCCCAGTCAGAAGATCGTCCATTTCCAATATCACTCTTGTTCAAAACAATAGTACCAGTTCTAAGACCTATCCTTCCATTATAATAATCTGGATTGTATTCCGTTATAGTAACCTGCCTTAGTGATGAGAATGTTCACCTGGAAAGTTCTGTCAAAAATACTTTCTTGGATCCATTGGATCAATTTTCTTCATAAGTCAAAGGATTTGAGCCTACGAAATAGTCGGTTGTGTGAGACTTTGTCAAATGCTTTAGGATTTGGAACTGCTATGCAAATAATACAAAATTATGTGCACACCTCCTAATGTTTCACAACCTACTCCTAGAAGATCCGCAACAAATACAAGTACAAACAATTTTACCACTAAATGGGTTTGATGTATGAAGTTCTACATATAGTAATGACCAGACCTGTCTTACCTTCTACCATCAGAAATTATGTTAATAAATGTATCAACAGAATTGCAAAACGACTTTGGATTGATTATCATCCAGGATCTGAAGTGGGGAAGCCAAGCCCAAGCTGTGACAAAAATCTAATAAGTCCATTTGTCTGATATGGGAGGCATTGGCTGACATGGACACAGAGATGGCTTGAAAAGTCTGTGTGACATAGATCAGAGCAGTGCTAGAATATCGCAATCTGGTTTGGTTCAATTGTTACAATAAAGATATCGGACTTCTTGAAAACTACAGATGATGCCCAAAATTCCAAAAGAGCAGTGTGAATAACAGCATAGTTATAGACACTTGAAGCAATTCAGCCTGGAAGAGAGAACGAGGTGTTCTTGTTCTCTCTTTGTGATCTCTTCGTCAGGTTGTCCGATAACAGGCTGATAGGCCATTCAAAGAAGTTCCTGAAGGCGAGGGTACAAACCAATGATTGATACCACTTCATCACAAATGGTGGTGAACATGGAATGAACTACCAACGACCTGCGTGGAAGGAAGAAGTGGTGCATCCTTCAAAACGCAGCTGGATATGGCTAGATACTAACTGTTGTATTACACAAGTGAAAGAAAAACTGTGATAAACAAGATTGTATTCAAAGATGAATATATTTTAAGATTATTTTCTTATAACAAATCTTGTTTTGTATGAATTACTGTACATTGGAGAAACGTATATGAATCATCAACTACGTGGCCACCATATGAGAAATTTATAGATTATTATTATTAAAATGACAAAAGCCATTTTGATTTTTTTTTTTAATTACACAAATGTAATTTTTTTAAATAGTTTTCAGGTTGTTTATATTTATATTATGGGTGTTTTTTGTGAAGCATTGCATTTGTGAGTAGAAGTGCTTCAAATAATTTTCAATGATGTTTCTTGAAAAATCAAAAGTCTCAAAATAAGCTCAAATTTGTCTTTTTAAAACCCTCACATATGACATTTCTCATGAACAGCTCCCAATTAATCAATGAAAATTTGCCTGAGGACCAGGTATAATATTCTTAAAGTAATTTTCCAGATCTACATCTAGGTGACCAAAAATGGAGAAACAGTGAAAAAAAGAACCTTTAGGTGACAATAAATGATAGCTGAGAGAGAGCGTGAAGCAAAACTAAAATACTTGCCCACACTAAAAAGAATAGAAAACTAACTAGTGTGAGAAGGTCTGAGCAATTCTATAGCATCAATAGTTGTTGACTGGATTATTATGCAAGAACAGAAATTTTGCATTTCAATAAAATAAAATGATAAATAAAATGTATTGGTCTGTTGAATATAAAACTTGAGATCAAAATTAATCAAGGATATGTATGTAACAGGCTTCTGAAGCCAAGAGTTACACTTGTGATAAAATTTTAGAAAACTTAATTTAGCGACTATTATGGAAACAGAACATAGTATTTGAGAAAGTTTTCAGAATACTTATTTATTTCTTACTTCTCTGAGAAGATGAATGCTATTTGTAAATGAAAATTTACAAGTAGTCCATCATTTTTTGCTGTAAAATAATGCAAAACACAATTACTGTAACTTTTTCAATTTTATTTCTAGGAAGAGGAGAAAAAGAAACAAGATGAAAGAGAGAGAATTGCAAGAGAAAAGAAATACACATTACCTGAAGTACCTCATATTATTGTGCATCCTTCACGCACTGCCAAGTCTGGTAAATTTGATTGTACTGTCATGTCCCTGTCACTTCTGCTGGACTACAGACCAGAAGATACTAAGGTATTATGAGATCAAAGTAGTGTTAATGTTGAAAATTACATTAGGAAAGTCTGCTAAAAAAAGTATGTTTCAGGAACATTCATTTGAAGTTTCTCTTTTTGCCGAGTTGTTTAATGAAATGCTGATGCGAGATTTTGGGTTCAACATATTCAGAGCTCTGTATGTAGCTCCAGAGCGTCCAAAAGAAGATGAAAAGGTAAATATAGTTTGTTTTTTAAATTTCATAATTTTTTAAACATGAGGCCAAAAGTGACTGTTCAGATTACAAGTGAACATTATACCTTAGAGAAGTATCCCTCCACTTTGACAAATGTTCTAATGGGCCTCATTGCAAAATGTTGATGTTCATTGATGGCTCCCAGACTTCATTGGTGATCATGACTTTCATGGCAAAAGTAAACACTGTATATCGAAGACTCAGTTTTAAAATAGTTAAAACTAAAATAACATCAAGAATGAAACTGTTCGGTAGGAAAAAAGATATTTTTAAGAAACACAAAAAGCATGGCATGACCAAATTTCATGAATTTCTTATGGCTATACATTTTTTCATTTAACAATGAGATGACTTGAGAAAGTGTTGAAACCTTGTAGTAGTGTAACAACTGCAACTTAATGAATGAAGCAAGGAGCGTAAATTGACATTGTTGATAAGCAAGTGAATAGAAATTTATGTTGCCAGCAGTAACTGTCACTTTTGTTCCTTAGGCTAACTTTCCTGTACTAATGATTATTTATATTTTCAAGGATCGTAAAAAAGTGAAAGATAAAAAGGATGAAAAGGACAAGAAGGATGACAAGGAGAAAAAGGATGATAAGGATCGGAAGGACGATAAGAAAAATGGCAAGAAGGATGAAGATAAAGATGATAAGAAAGATGATAAACATTCCAAGGAGAGAAAGGATGACAAAACAAAAGCAGATGATAAAAATGAAGAGAAAGATGAAGAAGATGATGAAGAGGAAGAAGATGAGGTGCGTTGTGAATTATTTATTTATTTATATTATATATTATATTAATACAATTTTGTTAGAAGGTGTGTGCAATTTTTAAAGCATTAAAATTTTCTTTTAGGAAGATGAAGATTCAAAAGATGGAAAACGAGATAAAGACAGGGATGAAAAGGATAAGAAGAGAGATAAAGATAAAGATAAAAAGAAAAAAGAAAAAATTAAATTGTACACTGAAGATAAACAGCTTCTTTTGTCTTTTATTTATTTTGACCAATCTCACTGTGGTTACATATTTGACAAAGATATAGAAGAATTGCTCTACACACTTGGTCTGAATCTCTCAAGAGCTCAGGTATGGAGATATTTCCTTTAATTTTTATTTTATTGATTGTACCAACAATTTTAACAAGTTACATAATGTAAAGAAACTGCGTGAAATTTTATTATAAATCATGTTCCTTCTAGGTTAAGGTTTAAAATATGATAATAAGATATAATGTTGCTATTTGACTTTGTGTACATAAATGATTCATATTCATTGCGTTGTAAGAATTCCATGTCCTTGGAATTTTTAGAAAAAAATGACTTAAAAATTTCAAGTGTGCAAAATTAAGAGAGAAAAAAACCAACACTGCTTACCAACTGTTGAATTTGGGAAAGTATTTGTAGATATAATCTTCTCCAGTATTTCAGTGGTGCAAATCATTTTTATATTTTATTTCCAATGTCATTTGGTTTGAATGTTCGACTTTTGCTAATCGTAAACACATTTGACAAAAAATTGACTTTTTTCCTAATACATTTATAGGTCAGAAAGCTGGTTCAGAAGGTGGTGACACGTGACTCGTTACATTATAGAAAATTGACCGACAAAAGAATTAAGAGTGAAGATATCAAAGATACAGATAAAGAAAAGGATAGAAGTAAAGATGGTGAAAAAGATGAAAAGATTTCTGATGATGCAGATGATATGTTGTCTTTTGGTAAAATCATGTTTCAAAAAGTTTAATTCACTTTGATTGGTACAACCAAATGGCCAGGTATTATTTGTTTATTTTATTATAGGAAATCGTCATCTATTACCAGTCTTCTTTTCTTTGTCTGACGATGGATGCTCCCCATCCAAGCGAATAAGAAAGAGTCCAGTACAAGATAAAGATAAGGACAAAGATAATAAAGACAGGGAAAAGCATTCCCTACCAGAAGGTTTGTTTCATTTTGCTCGAAACTTCATTTTATATTATATTGCAAATGGGGCAGGGGGGGATATCGGCAATCAGGTGGTCAAATGTTGGGAAGATAATGTAAACTATTGGTGGTTGTTTAAAAGTGTGAGCCAAGCACAGAAAGAATATTTTCTTGTAGAAAAAAATTTTAAATTATGCATTATTCTAAAATTTACTTCTAATTAATATCTGTATTTGTACCCAGGTTTCGTCATGTACAAAGGAGCCCTTTTAGATGTTCAGAAATTAATGGATCAACTGAAACGCAGTGAGAAAGCACGTGTTGACACTGAAAATAAAATGATTGCCATGAAACAGGATTTAGGTGAAGTGAAGGAGTCTGCAAAACAGTCTGCAAATACTGTTAAAGATTTATCCGGAGAATTACGAGAATATAAAGAGAGACTTCATGATACTGATATTGAATTATCAAAAGTGAAGGTCAGTGGTGTTCTAAACCTATCTCCATATTATATTTTCATTTATACTTTGTGTAATATGTAATTCAGTCATTACAATTGTCTTTTCAAAACACATACTATTATATACACTTCAGTAGAAGTTAGTATAGAAAACTGCTTGTGCCAACTTGGATCTTTAATCAGACCTTGGGTCATAATATATTTTGCCATTCTTTCCTTTTTATTTGACACAATTTTTACAAATGTGTGATGAAAAGAAAGTAATGGCAGTCACTTTTGATTTTATAGTTAAAGTAAATCAAGTTAAAGAATTATTCTTTTGACTTACGCAATTCTAAATTATTGGATTTACCCAAAAAATTGCCACTTTTGAACCTTATTTTCACTAAATCGGGAGTCGACAATTTTTAAATACTTACGGTCCAATAGTCAGGCCCTCGGTAGATTGTGGGCTGCATAAATCTTAAGGAATTCAATGACCTTTAAAAAACTTAATTACAATTTAATATTTGCCTTTGTCTGTCATTATAACTGTGAGAAACAAGCTTATGGTGTCCAGATAACATAATTTAGTGAAAAGTTTTTACCACCCAATTTTATGTCAGAAGACAATAAATATGAACACAACGTGTATGTACCAATGCAAAAGATATCATTTACATTTTCAGTACTTTTTATTTTTGAGAAAAAAAAACACAACAAAACCCTCTGCATATTGTCTTTTGTAGCTGTTGGTAAGCAGCAGAGGTCAATTATAGTGTTACAAAAGTAAGAAAGTTCAAATTGGAAAGGGCAGTCAGAGCAATGCTTTGAGCTTGCATCTTGGTAGATACCAGCTTAATGAACTTAAAAAATTTATTGTTATCCTCGCTTCCCCATCTATGTAACCTCACACTCGCACCAGTCTTGCTCACACTAATGACAAAATGTCATCAGCTTCCATAGATCCACAACCAACACACTCTACGATATTATATTGTATTGTAGACAGTCTTGACAATGATGTAATGAACAAATGGTGGATAAGTGCTCCTTCCTATTTATTTTGATATACTGTAAATTATAACATTTTCACTATAGAATCAGCTTTTAAGAGCAAGTGATAACACATCTAAGACCCAAAGTTCAAAAATATTTCTAAACACAAATGGTTTTAAATAAAATATTTCAAAAAAAGCACACACATTCATTCATGCATGCATGCATACAAGGTGTGTTAGAAAAATAATGAGACTGATTTTATACTAACTAAAATTTTTATTTTTTTCAAACAACAATATGATCCCCTTCAAAGTAGTTCCCTTGGGCAGCTATACACCGGCGGAGTCGTTGTTCCCACTCTTTGTAGCAGCGCTGGAAGTCTTTAACTGGAATGGCTTTTAAGTGGTCAGTCACAGTGTTTTAAATGTTCTCCAGAGTTCCAAAGTGACGTCCTTTTAGGGCATGTTTCAATTTAGGGAAAAGGAAAAAGTCGCAAGGACTCAATTCAGATGAATATGGGGATTGAGGAACAATAGTAATGAGTTTTGAGGTCAAAAATTCACTGATGGAAATGGCCGTGTGACACGGGGCATTGTCACGATAAAGCATCCTCTTGTCTGTAATGTGTGGTCTCACACGAATCACTCTTTTCCTGAGCCTTTCAAGGACACTTTTATAAAACACTTGGTTGACAGTTTGTCCTGGTGGAACAAATTCTTTGTGTACGATTCCCTTACTGTCAAAAAAACAAATCAGCATGGTCTTGATCTTCGATTTGCTCATTCGACATTTCTTCGGCCGAGGAAATGACGGAGTGTGCCACTCTTCGCTTTGCCGCTTCGTTTCAGGATCATACTCAAAATATCCACGATTCATCACCTGTGATCACACAATCGAAGAATTCTTGGTCATTGGCAATCCTCTCAAGAAGGTCAGCGCACACGTCTTTTCGATTGTCCTTCTGTTCAGTTGTAAGGTTTTTCAGCATCATTTTGGCACAAATCTTTCGCATGTTCAAATCGTCTGCCAAAATTTGATGTACGGTGAAAATGTTAAATTTAACTGTTCACTGATCATCCTTATTGTTAAACGGCGGTCTGATCTCACAAGAGCCTATACGTTCAACGTTTGTCAGTTTTTGAATGAAGTCCCTGAGCGAGGGTCATCTTCAACGGTGTTCCGCCTCCAAACTCGTGCAGCGAAAATTGTTGCCTGATAAGTAATGTCCCATAGGCCTTTCAAATTTCAAAAGTCACACTTCGGGTGATCACCAATTACACAAACTTAGTGCAGCAACGGCTCTAAATGATGCTCATTCTAACGCAACACAACAGAAACCAACTTACATGAGGCGCTGTCAAAAATTGTGTTTTATGTACTGCAGTGTAAATCGGCTGAGGAGGAAGGAATACAAACTGCTGCAACGGCCGTATGACACAACATTGGCCAGATCCGCCCGCAGTTACATCCATTACTTCTCACGCACCTGACATGCATGCATCATGCATACATACATGCATTTATTCATGCATACTTGCACACGTACTCTCCCTCTCTCTTTTCCCAGGGGTTAGTCCTCTATTGCACTGATAGCATCATATGGATATGTTACCTTTTGACATTTTTAAAATGTTAAGGTTATGGTTATAATAACGTAAAACTTAATTTTAATTTTTTAATATTTTTAGGCGCGATCTGAAACATATTTGTTGACGTTAAGAGAGGTACAAGAGAAGGTTGTGCCAGTGTTATCCTCTGTTCCTGCATTCCGGAATGAAGTAGAAGACATTCAGTTGTGCCGTGAAGATGAAAAAAAAACTACTGAAATACGTGCTAATGTCAAAAAAGAAGTTGCAGATGTACATGAATTTAATTCTAGTAAAGTTGATGAACAAAATTCTGGTGAAAAAGAAACAAAAACAAGTAAGTTGTCTAAAGCCGACTCTGATGATTGTTCAAGTTCATCTGTGGTAAAACATGAAACAAAGGATAAAGATAATGTGTAGTGCTCACCATTTGTTGGAGATCACAAACATGTTTGTGGATGGTGGTTGACACTGTAAAGTACAAGTGATTTAAGGAACTTATTTCAAGTATTTTCTTTTAACGCAATGGTAGAAGTGATTCTGCAATAATTCTGTGGTGTCATCTCTTCTTTTTCTTTTGTATTGTACGTATTATTTTTCACCACAATGATGTACAAACTTTTGTTTTATTGTTACTTTTATTTAATGTTTTAACTATGTGCAAAAGGGAAATGAACAGCTCTTTGCTGTAATGGTAGTTATTGTCTTAACATGAATATGTGGGACTGTTTCGTTCTTTCACTTGGCTTCTCTTCAAATTTTGTGTATTTTTTACTTAACATAAATGTATCATGTTAGTTGAAAGCTGCTGCTGTGTGTGATGTATATATTTTTTGATGTAATAGGCATATAAAAAATCACAAAACCCTCATAATGAAGAGGGATCTTCACGACTCTCGTGGAGTAATTTCACAAGGTTGTGAGATAGATAAAGATGTTAACTTCTGTTAAAACAGAAATTAACAAAAAATCAGTTAGTACTAAGAGTTATGTCCTTAAAAAAATCAAGTACTAAGAATGGTCAGAAATAATTTTATTTAGTGTATGCTTGGTTCATTGGTTTCATAAGTTAAATTTCTGATTAATAAACTACTTTTTCACTTATCAATAGACTTAGAAAAAATCCTGTTAGTTTCTTTTATTTATATAGATATATCTGAAGTCCACCAAAATACAGTATTATAATACAACTTGCATGTCTCTTGTAAACCCCCCGACGAATAGTATTCGATCTGGGAGAGTTGTTGTAATGTTAAGAAAAATGCAATATTTGTGAATTGTTATTTTCCATCAGAAGTGTACTTACAAAGCAGAGTATTTATGGTTTTATAACAGGAGAAACCTCTTCCCTTAATATTTCATGGAGTTGATTTGCTACTTCATGATTGAATCTCAACAAAATAAACTGTATAAAGGAACACAAAATTTTGTCAGCAAATTAACTGGTTTTCGTAACAGATTGTGCCTCTGTGAATGCTCTCTCAGGTGACTGAAGAAAATTTATATAGCAGTTTTATCATTGCAAAGAATAGGATGTATTTGATGCTAATGATAGATCAAATACACGTTTAATTATATGTTGAAACATTCTTCAATATCATTTTATGCCATTCACATACATTAATTTTACTTGCCTGAGTGAGATTGAATTGAAAATGAGACTTTGATGTGTAATTAAATTATTCAATCTGTGTTCATTAGTTGTGTGTTAAGATTATAGAATTCATGTATAGTGAATGAAGCGTTAAGTTTCAACACAAGTCTGTTGTTATGTAATAGTAAAAGCAAAATAGAACTAATTTAGTAATAGAAATCAGACCATAACAAATGAACTCCTACTTGAGAATACCTGATATATCCTATCTGTAACATACATTTTTATGTACTACATTGAGTATACATACCCGAAGAAAGGACATTTTGGAGCAGTAAATATGCCTGAAATTTATAATACTCTTGTGTTGTTACTTAAGAAATGTAGATCAATCCCCATTTGTGCAATTGGAATGCATAATCCCAATGGTTTTCCTTCCACATTGAGTGTATTTCATTGAGAATATTGTTCTGGAATTAGGTCTCATTTCTCAGAATTGTTAACCAATACATATGGTAAATTCAGTTGTAAAATCAATCTTTTTGGACCAAATGTACAATTGGCAAAAATTCATTGTGAACAGATTGCTTTTTTTTCCATTAAGTCTTCATATTGTCATTTAATTGTGGTAAAGAAAGACTTGCAACTAACTAAAAGCAATAGAAATTCACTGAAAGAAACTGTTTCAATTAATATGTTGTACGAGGGTCGCTACGAAAGTTTTGAAATATACAAAAACTAAGAATCTTGAAATAATTTTGATAACTATATTTTCTCTAAGTACTTGCCATGATATTCTATATTCTACATTATTGCATTCTCATAAACCAAATTTGAAAACAGATTTTCCTAGAGTGCTAAAAGTTCACTTTTGTAAGCATCAACAGCTTCTACACAACCTTTAGAACCTCCATCCTTGCATGTGACTTTTCACTGTAGGAAACAGAAAGTAAGTTTAACCTCCGTTGACTCCAGAAACTGGATTGTGAGGTTGACTGTGTGCGCAGACGCGATGTCATGGTGCAGAACGATTTCCCGCAGTCGTGTTTCCGGCGCCGTTCTTGAAGCTTGGCGAGAACTTTTGATAGACATTGTGCCCCACAGAGCAGTAACAGTTCTTAGTTCTGTCAGTGGAACAGTCGAGACATGATTGCTTTTGGAGAAGAATGTTGCAACCATTGTCGTTCCAACGCTTTGAGGCCGCTAAATTTATGTTGGAGGATGTTCGACGGGAAAATTCCATACTGTAGACTGGCGCTTATTTTCAGGATCGAACTGATAAATCCACTTTCGTCACCAGTAACTATGTCAGAAACACGCCTAAATTTGCTCTTTTAAATCCTTTCTACATTTCTTCACACCATTCCCCATGGATGCGCGTCTGTGATTCTGTCAAAGTGAGACACCCGACGAGATGCAACTTTCCTGACTCGATATTCGTGAGAATTTTGGAAACTGCCGGCGATCCAATCTGTAGGGGCCTTTAAATGACACACGATTGTTTTCGCGCATCGATTTTTCCTCGGCGTTGTTTTCTTCAGTCACTGCAGTCGCTCCTCTCCTCCCTTTTTCTGAATTCTTGAAACCACCGACAAAGTGTAGACGGGAAGGCGCAAGGTCCCCGAAGGCCCGTTGCAAGCGATCCAGGCATTACAGGTTCTTTTAAACCACTTTTAAAGTCATAAAGAATCATTGCACAAAGTGCTCTCTTGCCGGTTGCATTCTGATACCACGAGATCTTAGATCTTGTCCCGGCTGGGGCGGTGCCTCCTTGGTTGGGCATAAATCGCGAAAAAAAACGTGCAATACACTTACGGAACTAATTACTTTAGTAGTTGACCCCTATCGTACTAACTACGTTATTGAAGTTAGAGAACACTTGAAAAAATTCGTTCTCCTCCATTAGTTCTTTAACGTCATGTTCTATATTTTTTGAAAATACTAGTAGATTTCGTGAAAAACTTGAATGTATGTCAATATAAAAAAGTGAATGGTGGTCAATACAAAAAATACACCAATGTATTTTTCTTAAAATCTCTAATGATTTTTTTAGCCTATTTCAGGATTTCTTTTTGCATTTTATTTGTGAGAAGTGTTTGAAATAATTTGTTATGAAGTTTGAATAAGCTGAAAATCGCGCATTTTCAGAAACGTTCCAACAATGTTTTCTCAAAAACTGCCCAAAAATGTTCATTGAAGATTTGCATGCATATCCAGATTATTACTCTTCTCAAATATTCGTTAAGTTATAATGCAATTCTCTGAGAGGAATGAAACATTGAGAAAATGCCTTTTGGGCGTTAATCTATGGTAGCCGGGAAGATGATTGGGCAAAATCGATAAGCTAGCCCAGATGCAAGAGAATATGAAGTAATAGAACTAGTACGAGAAATCGCTACTCTGTAGCACCACAAGATTGCAACTGTTAACCTAATATGAAATGAAAGATTAAATTTATATACGTTTTATGTTAACGATTTTTCTCCAATCAATAGCTTAGCCGCCAGAGCGCTGTGAAATTAGGTGTAATAGTGTGTATACCTCTTGGTATTTAGCGTTTGAACTTCTGGTGTGTAACAATGCAATTCCTCCCACGTGGTGATTACTGTTGGATTTTCCCCTGAAGTGATGCATTGGACAGTTGGAATGACGTCTGAGCGACACGTTCGTGAACAGATCCAACATCCTTGTTACATTTCACTCTTCAATCACTACTGCTATTTGGACTGATTTACACAGTCCAGTCACATTAATGTGACCACACGTCAAAATCCTGAGTAACCTTCTGCAGCGCTGGCCGCTGCGAGACGTTCAGAAAGAGAGTAAATTAGGTTTTGGGTGGTACCGACAGGTATTTGGAGCCATGCCGACTCCAGTGTCGTGGCCAGCTGCGCGAGTGTCCTCGGTTGCGGATCCATGGCGCGAACAGCTCGATCGAGAAGGTCCCACAGATTCTCAATTGGATTTAAATCGGGGACTTCGGTTGCCAGGAGAGTACAGTAAACTTATCTTGGTGCTCTTCGAGTAGATTCGGTAGATAGTCTTGCTGAGGAAAAAAACATCTGCATGTAGGGGTTGGCATGGTTCCCGAGGATGACTACATACTTCTGTTAATCCATTGTGTCTTCCAGAATGGTGAGATCATCCAGGGAATGCCACGAAAATACTTCCTACACCATCACACTCCCTCCTCCGCACGGGACCCGTCCAGCGATCGTTGCAGGGGGTTTGCGTTCAGACGTTTCACGCCGTATACAGCAACCACCATCTTTCCGATGGGACAGAAAACAGTGATTCATCTGAAAAGGTCACCTGTTGCCAATCAGTTGGCGTCCAATTGCGGTTTTTGCGTGCAAGTTCCAGCTTTCATTTCCGATGAACAGCAGTCTGCATGGGTGCATGAACCAGGTGCCTGCTGCGGATGCCCATAAGCAGCAACGTTCGCTGAATGATTTATGAGGAGACCCTGTTGGTAGCTCCCTGGTTCTTCTGAGTAGTCAGTTACTCTATAGTTGCGTGTCTATCCGCCCGTTCACATCTCCACAGCCGTCGTTCTCCCCTGTCGTCTATGGTCCGCCAAAGTTGCCTCGGCGCCCGTTTTGCGATATCGCCATTTTGCCACTTACGGTATACTTTAACCACGGCAACACTTTACAAACTTAAACGTTTTCGAAATAATTCCGTCTTTGTTCCGAAAGCCAATGATCATGCCCTTTTGGGCGTTCAATAAATTGCTCCGTTGTAGCATTGCGACAACTTCTGCACTGTTTTCCGCTTCCAACCAACATGCTTTGTGTGCATCTCCACTGTTAGTGTTGCAATCTGTGAGGGATTATTGCTCGTTTACGTCGATCATAGACGGTGGTTACATTATTGTGACTAGACTGTAATTAACTGCCATAGGGATTGAGATTTGGGCAGTAAGTGCATTAACAAAGTTATTAGTGATGACTTCGCCAAGTCATATTTTTACATTTAAAAAACAGCACTTCGCTATCCGAGCGCAGCACTGTCTGGTTGAGCACTAGACGCGATAATAACTCTCATAATAAGAACTGATTACACATTCCAATTTTTCTAAAATTAAATCTAGATGTATATGGTGGAATTATACTTGCGAAAAAGCAATTTGAATTCGTAAAGACACATTTAAATCGTTAAATATAGATGTGATGTTGAGATTATGAATTTTAAACGGATTGAATCCAAAACAATTAGGATTCTTAAGCAAGAAAAAAAATGGTTTAAAAATTTTTGTGAGTCTATTATTCAAAATACTAAAATATCTGACGTTTGGAAGAAAATATAAAGAATTAAAAATAGTTTAAGTAGTCAATCATCTACAAAAGGTAATAAAAAAGAATGTGGTATTCAAGAAAGTTTAATAATATTTGTTCACCAAAGAAACTAGTGAATGTAAGTTTAAAATTTTAACTTAGAAAATAATCACGATCATTTTCTAAATTCTCCTTTCCTTTTTTGAAGAATAAGAAATCATTTTTAATAATATTAATATCAGATCTGCTCTAGGGATAGATAATATATAATATGAAATTCTCACAATTTTACCAGCATTTTTAAAAAGTGTAGTGCTTGATCTATGTAACGATATTTTCATTGCTTGTATTTTCCCAGAACAATGGATAACTTATCTCGTTTAATTTATTCCTAAATCCAATACCAATAAAGATCGTCCCATATCTTTTTTAAAAAATATGGAAATATTGATTTATAATCGTTTATCCTGGTGATTGGAATCAAATAAATTGCTTCCCTCATCTCAATATTGTTTCAAAAAGGGGAAATCTTGCGCAGGTAATCATTCCATTTTAACTGCTCATATCATGAAAGTTTGTATAAAAAAAAGTTTCTTATAGCTTTATTCTTACACATAAAAGGAACTTTTGACATTGCCATTCCATATTTTTTTGATTCGTGGTTTAATTGAACTCGATTTACCAAAAAAACACTATATTTTATTAAAAGTTTGGTTTATGAAAGAAAACTCAACAATGTCGATAATTCGTATTGAGTCAATAAAGGCGTCTCGCAAGGTGGTGTGCTACGACCTCTTCCTTTTGCAATTTATACACGGAAAATACCTAGTCTTTTAAAAATGCAATACAAATTTTGCAATTTACAGATGATATTGTATTGTTTATACAAAGCACCGATGTTGTTCCCTCTCTTAATATTTTAAAAACCCTAGTCAATGACCTAGCAATATTTCTTGGTAACAGAGGAATTGGCTCCCAAAAAGTGCCAATTGTTTTTAAATAAGATTAATATTAATGTTAACAAACACCATTTGAATGCAGTTAATACAATTATTAACTCATCTACCATGTTAAATTCTTAGGCATGTATCTTCACAGGAGACTTAATTGGCAAACCCATATTAAAAATCTCACAAATAAATGTAATCTTCCATTGAGAATTTTTAATTGCCTCAGAGGAACGTTTTGGGTGGCAGATCTGAAAATATTAATTCTCTTGTATCATCTATTATTAGATCTAGATTAGAATACTGCACATATCTGGTTTCTCCATGTTCTAAATCTCGTTTAAATTCCCTGAAGAAAATTCAAAATATAGATGACTTCGGTTTTAGTGAACTTTTGGGCACTAAAATTTTTGGTTCACTATACCCGATGACGTCAAAATTAAATAGAATTTCTCCATAACAATTGATTTTATTAACATAGGGATGTAGCAAAATACTTTAACAGCACGAACTGAACAT